TCATCGGCAGAGCCCTGGGAGGTATGTACCAGAGCTATTAGCGAGACTGGATGAGCATGTCTGAACTTATACCCCCCAAAAAGGGGAGGCGAGTGCTCCACACCAGCACAGCTGGCAGCAAGGAGGGGAAATTTTAAAGGAAGAAAAGCGTGAGGTAATATGGCTGTCGCAAATTGTTAAGCTGAAGCTGAGTGAAACTTTCTCGTGTACCCTTCAGAAGTAAACAGCCAGAATATAGCATCTCTAAGACTGATATGTCAATCAAATCCAAGGGAACAGTGGCCAAGAGTGTAACGAGCTGGGAGGCGATGTGACATTAGATGAAGTGAGCAGAAGTCACTTCGTTGCTGCATCCCAGTGCTGGCAGGCACGTTCTCTTGGTGGACAGATCTGCACCTACACCAGCACCATATCCATTTGACTGTACCCTCTGGAGCAGTAGCTCCAACAAGGTAGAAAGGATACTCATTTATAAACTGATGTAGTGCCTTTTTTTTTTTTTTTTAAATAAATGTACTCTTGTTGTTGTTACTGAGACAAGTGTTGCTCTCCAGGTGGGCTGCACCATATAGGGACAAAGATAGCAATGTTGCTTGAGACAAGAATGAAAAAAAAAAAAAAAAGGTGCTGCATATAGTTTTGGCAAGAAAAGAGTTGCTGGTGTGCTGTTTGTTCTAGTAAATGTACTTTTGTAACTAAACAGGACTCTAAACACGCAGTTGTTGTTTATTCCTGCTCCAGTTGACTGACAAAGGTGGGGATGTCCACCCTGCTACAAAAAAGGGCAGGAGCAGCACATCAGATGCCACTGTCACACATCACATCACCTGTACTTCACTTTTCAGCAAAGCTCACTATATTTGTTCTTTTTATGTTTCTCAAAGCTCTTCTGTGTACATCCTTCTGTTCAGTTTTACAGCTGTACCAATCCGTGCAGGTATCATGTGGGTTTGATTAAGAGCCAAAAGTAGAACTGGGAGTGAAATAGCCTCATTGGGCTGTTTCATGGATGTGAATGACAAAATTGGCAGCACTAACCATTTTTGTAACACAACATGGCAGCACATACTTCATATTGTCTTTAAATATGAGATTCCCAAGCCTGGAGTCCAAATATAGCAAAACTTCTATGAAGGACCACGCTGGGGTTAGAGCAAAAATGAGTCTCCCAGCAGCGTGGTCTTTAGTTAAAGGTCAGAAAAAATTGGAAACCTTATTAAGATAATTTAAAATCCTCAGTGTAGATGCCAGTTGATGGAATATTTAGTGCAGTAAGTACCTACGCTCTTATTTAGAGTCTGAGTAGTTTTAAAGGCTATTATGACCAATATAACGCAGTAGGAGAAGATAGCTTGGTTTATGTACATGAACCGCAGCTTTAACTTGGAAATTCCAGGACTTTATAGACTTAAACCAGACCAGATTATTTGCTCGGGGTCTTTTTTTTAATAAAGGGGAGGCAAGGGTGGTATAAAGGAAAGGATTATTTTAGCAAGGGGAAACATTTCCAGAGCACAGACGCATGAGATGCCATTCTGGAAGGGCGAAACTCTGCACTCCAAGTAGGATATACTCCCTCCTCATAACCCATCCCTTTGCACATCACCTCGGAGACTACTCATATTAAATAAAACAAATGCTTTTGGCGATCCTCCTCTGGCATTCTTTCCTGTGAATACGATGGGAGTTTATTCAGCCTCAGAGGAAGATAAGTAAGAGCATTATTTCACCGTGTGCCAACGGATAAGAGCAACACCTCTACCAGGAACTCAGGTTTCTGCTCGCTGGTATCAGAACAAACAAACAACTTCTCCAAACATTTCAGCTCCGTTTTCCCGAACCCATTTTATTCTGCCTGACCTTGTCAAAAGGGGCTCCAAGCCCAGTCACAGCCTTCTCCACTTGCAAGGTGGTCCCAGTGCCAGGGTGGCGGGCAGGACGGCCCACCGCAGCATCCCCTCGCCATGTCGGGGGTTAAAGGCAGCTCCCTGCCTCTTCCCACCTCCACATGGGTGCTGTGCTCAGCTGGTAGAGGCAGAAAGGAGGGATTTAGACGCAAAGCTTTGCGCTCTGTGCCAAATCCTCCTCCTCATCCCCTAAAATCCCTGCGCGAGCAAACTGGCAATGGTTGCGCCGATGAGATCAGCAGCATCTGTTGCAAGCCAACACGGCTGAGGGCTCCCGGCAGCAGGGAAGCCCTCACTGCCTGTCTGGCCCTGACGGGCACTGGGGAATTACTGGGAATTGCCACCCCTCCCTTCCCTCTGCGGGTTATTCCTACGGAGCAGGGACCTGCAGTAACAGGCAGGGTGGCTGCAGTTCTACGTGGAGTCAACAACGCAGCACCAGCCTGATCAACAGAGACAACCCAGCAGTACCTGTAGCTATTTTACATCTGGATAAATACACATACATATTTGTGACTTCGTTATGGACCCCCGAGAGAACTGAGCAGGTTGCAGGCAGGTTTTAGAGACTCACCCTTGCACAACAAAGCAAAAACCAGCGGCTACGTACTCTTTCGTTCAACAGAGGGTTGGTGTAGCAAAGAGGAACTTACCTCCAAACACTTTCTGCCACCATCTAACAGGATGAGATTTAAGACTTGATTTCCAGAAGCATCTCAAATTCCACAGGTGAATCCAAATCTTGCCTGGAAAAGTTGGACCCGCTCATGCCATCTCCAGGTCTTCTTCTCCCACAGGCATCAAAAACAGCTATCAGTTTAAGTCCATTGAATTATAGCAACACCACAGTCTTTGACTACCCAAAATGGTAGCAAGTGGTTAAGGAGAAAAAAAAAAAACAACCCCCCCCCCAAAAAAAAAAAACAACTTAGAAAAATCTTCTTCTCTTCCAAAACACCCTTCCTAACTTCAAAATTGTTTCATAAGGTGAGGCCTTGGTGCTTTTTATATATTTACTCCAAACAAGTGCATCCCTTCCTTCTCCATTTTAATTGCCCTGCCAGAAGGTGTCTTCTCAATGAGATCTTAATTAGAAGTAGCCTGTGGAAGCAGTGTATTGGATCCATCTGGGACAAATTGAAATAAATGGCCTCCCCCTCTCATTGCACTTCAGTGTAGCCTTGATATTCTCTTTTAAAAAATCTTCTTTTACTGCTTGCTATTGTTTTCTGGCTGAGTAATTTAAAAGTCTAGCTGCGTGCATTTTTTTTTTTTTCTGCCCCAAGCGATAAAAGCTATGGAAATATCTTTCTTTTCCCCTACAGAGGCAGCATTCAGTAGAGCGTATGGGCGGACGATAAGCTCCCATGTCTTCTTCTGCAGCTCAAATATGTATTTTGAGGGTGCCCGTTTCATTCCTGAGGTACCTATGCCATATATTTAATGGTAAAATAAGGTAAAGCAACCTCACCCACCCCTGTCCTCCCTAGGGGAGGAGGCAGGGTCCGAGCGGAGCCGGCTCCCGCCGCCAGGAGCAGGCACGTGGCGCGGTAATAACGCGGCCCCATCCTTCCATACGCCAACGGTTTGAGTATCTGTTACTGCTTCCGTTAGCTTATTTTAAGACAAAAATAAAGCAAGCAATGCGCACACATGTGTGTTTAATATAAATGATAATCTGCAGAAGCACCATTTCCTCAGTTCTTGCGGAGACATTGCTGGCGCGGGGCTCTTGGGAAATTCGCAGCAATGGAATTTTTTAAGAGTTTGGGTTTGTGCTTTTTTTCCCCCCTTAAGTTATATGAAAGTTTTCTATTCATCATGAAGATTTATTGATTGTTCTAGGGCTATGGGATAATTAAATATACAAAGGCTTGGCAGTTGTAGTAGAGAATATTCTTTTAGAAATGCTAACAATATGTTAAGTCCAAGGAATTCCAGTCCTAGTACTCCGTGGGGTCATAAATGAGTTCAGCGCAGGGGATATAAATATACATGACACCATTTAAAAATCAGGTACATGACTGGACTATAGCTATTGAGTTTATGTCTCACTTATCCCTTAGTTACGAAGGTTAGTAACCCCTCCCCCTCACTTCCCTTACGCTCATTATTTTACAGCTGAATAAAATCATATCTATGTGTCATTCGTGGGGTTTTAGTCTCATGAGGACTTATGTGCTAGAATTAAATGGAAATAGATCATTCTGCAAGTATCCCCAACCTTTACGGGAAGTAAATTCTTGCCACCCCTTCCCCTCCCAATGCTAACTGTCCGGCTACGAAACAGGGAGCTATCTGCCCTCTGAGTGAGATTTTATTGCTAAAATAAAGTAAAAATTGTTTTAAAACAAAGAACACACATCTTTATAGTAAAACTCAAGTTTGTTTTACAATTAGAGAAAAGAGTCACATGGTCCCCCAAAAAACCCCAAGTTTTATATATATATATTTTGAAAATATATTTAAAAACATAAAAAACTCTATAGTTAAACATATATTATGTTAATCAGTACACTTAAATATAGCTTAATTATATTTACAATATGACGCAGTTGCTTTTAAATTTTAATGCCAATTTCAGTTTTTCCCAAAAACCATAAAATTATATAAATATACAATAAATATTTATGTTACACAAGGTGAATAATAGAGAACAAGGCCACAGACATTAACTTACAGTTGCAAGAGTCTTTACTTTAACACAGCACTAGGCCTGCTGACATGCATGATATACCTTTGTCACAAACAGACCACAGCAAGAGTTTAATTAAGTGACATGAAAGAAAACCAACACCCCCTCCCCACCCCGCCCCCATCTGTTTTAACTGAAACTGCCGAGGCTGCGATCCTGGATGGATTAGGTCAGGCAGGTGAGAGCCGTGGGACTGCAGTTTAATTGCCAGTTTCACGTCGTATCGATAGGCACGGAACGGGCGTATTGCGGGGAACGTCACTCTAAAGTACAGGGGACAGGTCTTCTGCGGGGGTCTCAGCTCCATCCCTTCGTCCCCCACCCGCACGGGCTGCCCTTTACCCCTCCGCACCTTCCATCCCGCTCTCTTAACGCTGCCACACCAGCGCCACCCTTACCGGTGCGAGGTGAGGGTTGCTGAGTTAAGGAAATGGCCATCGTTGACTCTGGGAAATGAGGAACTTTATTTCTAGCATGATTTACGCATTAACACTTCTCTTTTTGAAATTTAATTTATTTGAACTGGGAATTATTTTATTCCTGTATCTGAATTAGATTACTGTCATGTCGTTGCTATCATTTCTTTTTCCAGTCTAGCTGAGCGATCTGTTTGTTACTCACTCACTGGCATAATCCTTTCCCTTTCCTAAGCAACCAACCCTGGCTTTGAGGGGAGCCACCACTACATCATCTCTCTGCTGCAGTTTAGGAATATTGCTGAGAATAGCTCCTGAGCCAAGTTTGGGTTATTAAATGTGAAGAATTAAAATACACATACAGGTACTGGCCACAGCAGAATGAAATCCTCCATTACACCAACACTTAATTTGCATGGAGAACACTTCAGTTGAAGTTTTTAGACGTTTCAATAAGGTGGGTTTTTTTTCATTTCTGATTTCTACGTGGGAGCCTGAATATCTGCAATTGATTGGGAAGGCGGAAGCTTGAGGTTCAGGTGGGTCACACTGCCCTCTCTCCTCACTCGTGGTCCAACGTGCATGTGGCCAGTGCAAAAGGTTTTCATCGTACAGTGGGGATTGAGAGTCAGTTATCCCAGGGAAGGCGAAGCCCTTCTACCCTAAGTAGAAGAAATCACTCTGTTAGCTTCCACCATACGTTTCTACTAGTGATGACATAAACCCAGTTTTAAACATGCTCTTCAAAGAGAATTATCGTGGGGGATCATATTTCAAACAAGCTTTGCCCAGTCCAGGTTTTTAATTAACTTCAACAACACGGCAGACCAACACAGATTCTGCAGCATTCAGAAGCAGTTATATTTTGCAGTATTTTCCTCTTCGTTCAGCTCCTTTTCTTCATCTACAGGAATTACAAATATAGCATCTGCCTTCAGTGAGCTCACTAATGAGCTATTTCTGCCTCTCTACCCACTGTAGGCAGTGCAAGTGCTACACACAGCTCTCAGCCTTACAACCTGCCTTTTTAGAAATACTTCTGTCAGGATAGTTGGAGGAGTAGCGCAGGGCTAAATACATCTATCAGAACCTAAGCAATGTTAAGCCAATTACTCCAGCGCTTGCTCTTCACTTACTTCAAGAGTATTTTTTATGCCAATATTTGTTTCATAAAACAGGGCTGACAGCAGAGGCAAGAGCCACACGCACATAAATGCTAATTGCTTTCAGCTCGAGGCAGGGGCTCTTTCTGCCTCCTTCCCCAGCGATGGCCCGGGGCTCCTGCGGGCAGGGGTGCCGCTGCAGCTGGCACACTAGGGGCTGGGAGACACGCTCTGGAGGGTAAGGGCATCGGTGTACAAGGCAAAGCTCTCATTCTCATGATGCACAGGACCACATTCAGTGCAGACTACAATGTGGACAGCCTGAGCCAACCCAAAACACTGGTATTTGACCCTGATTTGGCTGAGCTACCCAGTCCCATGACCAACCTGATTTCAGATCCACTATCATCTTTCTGGACCCTGTTTCTAGTGACGTTCTTGTTGTGCTTCAACAAGACATTTGATCCAAGCACAGTGTCTTTTATTACATGAAAATCACTCTATAGAATATTTCTGTATGACAAGTTCCAGTTGTATGCTAAGTGAAACACTTTAAAGATCACAACCAACATCCTTCCAGAGGGAGGAAAGGGGAAAAAAAAACCCAAACACAAACAAACATGGTATAAGCAAATGCAGGTCTCAAAAGACAGCAAATGAAAAAAAAAAAAAAAATCCCAAAAAAGCATGTTGCCATACAGTTAAATTAGTGCTGTCTTTAAGCCTGAAGTTCAACAATGTGAAGTGGAACATCACCATTCTTTTTCAGTTGCCTCTTTTTTTTTTTTATTATTTTTTGTCAGTAGTTGGATTGCTATTGCAAACACCTTCACAACATACAAAAAAACAAATTTGTTTTTAATCCAGAATAAGGTAATGAATTTTTTTTTCTTTTTCAATCTGATGGGAGTTCAAAAGTAAAAGAGAAACAGTAAAACTATGACAACAGCACCTTGACATTGTTTTAATTCCAACGCTATCAGAAGTTAAAAGCAGTAAACAGATATAATACTAACAGGAATAAAGATACTTACTGTCTAAAATGTAAACGGAATGTTTTGGTTCAATTTATTTTTCTGAAAGAGGACAGTTTATCATCAATTCACAATTGAAGCAGCATGCAATTTTATTCTTTTTTTTTTTTTAAACTTTTTATATTTTCAATTCTTGGCAACGGCGACAAACCACAATGTTATCGAGGAATGTAATGCAGACTTTTTTGTTTGCTTGTTTTTCTTTTTTTTTTTTTTGTTTTCGTTTTTTTTAAACTTGTGCGCAAATGACTTTTGTTCCCCTTCAGGTCATGGATATGTTCAATAAATAGATTGTGGAACCACTGTACTGTATAAACTTCAGTTATACATGCAGTCCATAAAATTATTTTTTACTGAATAATTTACCCTGTTATGTATATATACAAATAGATAATTTTGTCTCAATATACTCTATACAACACGAATCCACTATCTTCCCCTTTTAATGGTTAATGTACATACACAGGAAGTGTCTATCCTTATAAAGCGCCAGCCAACTCTCTTTTTATTATCCATGGTGAGAGCTCTCACGTAAGACTGGGTAGTTCGGCACTGGGAGTTCCAGTGCCTCTTGTCTATGCCCCTGCAGCCCTCCTTTGTGTACCCCTTGGGGTTGCATTTGGTCTCGTAGAAGTATTGCTTCAGTTGGCCTTTGGGTACTGGGACTTTTTCCAGGACTGTGACAGTCGCCCCAGACATGTCCACTGCAGTCTTTTTCTCTGCCGCCGTCACCCACTCACTCGTGCTGTCACATACGCTCAGTTCCCCGCGGCGAGCCGGGTCAGAGTGGCGCCGGACCCTCATGGACATGTTTGCAGCATCCAAGTAGTTTTTGTACTCCTCGAGGAGAAAGAGCAGTGGGGGTTCCAAAGGCACTTGACTGCTTAGCATGACTCGGGATGTGTACAAGTCTGCATCCTTGTTTTCCTCGCTGGGCTGGATGTCCTGGTCCTCATCTAGAAGCTCCTCTATGACATGTTCAAAAGTGTCTGCCAGCGATGTCAGTCCTCTTGATCCAGCATTGGGCCCGTTTAGGCTCTCAAGAGTCCCGTGGGTCCGAAGACCTGGGTAAGCCAAGCTGCCTTGTCCTCTTACACTAGCTTCTTTCATCGGGGCAGCTTTCATGCAACTGAAGTATGAGATAACCATAGTAAGGAAAAGGATGGTCATCACTCTTCTCACTTGGTGGAACTGTTAAGGACAATAACAAGAAAAAAAAAATTAACTTAAAAAGAGATGGAGTAATAAAAATTCACCCGAGTTGTCATGAGACATTATGCATTTTCTGCAGAGATCTGCTGCATGCCGCCGCAACTCATTACCGGTGATAAAGCATACTCTTGTACAAGGGTGTTCTTTGATTTAGAGTTTCAGATAAAGCATATACCAAAGCTTAGGCAACACTGACACCAGCAAGTCCGAGTTCTTACATGCCAAAGTCTTTCTGTAGTAAGTATTAGATTAGGTACTATACGGACCCGTTATTTATTGACTGATTACACCTACTTCAAGTAACAGCAAAAGCAAAACCGCTGTTTAACAATGCCACATGCAGCAGTAAAAGACAGCTTTGGAAGCGTGAAAGGCAAGACTTCCATTTCGAGTGCAAATATTTGATTTTTAAGATCTCCCTATGCCAAAAATATTTCATCGTTATAGCCACAAAAAAAAAAAAAAAAAAGAACAGCACCAGGATAAATTGCATCTGTATTTTGAAAGCAACCTTCAAAACACAGGAAGAGGCCATACAAATTCTTAGGTCTCAGCAGGTCAATTCCTCATCTAAAAGTAGAAGGTACGCACACATAAATATAGAACAAGAAAACGGCCCAGGACTGTACACTAAATTTGAGCTGGACAGATTGCTTGCATCATGTGAATGCCATGGAAAGGACCTGCGGGATTACAGAGCTGGTAAGAGCTATACTGAAATGACAGTACCAGAACCACCATACTGTACTTTCCCAGAGCCCCATTCTGCCTGTTCCCAAGCGGGCAAAGCACCTATTTAAACCCTGCACAGAGCCCTGAGCCCAGCATGAAAACCAGCAGCACAACCAGCCCTACTGCCATCCTGGACCACAGCGTTTTGCCCATTTCTCTCACGTTCTGCCCCAAGTTCTTGCACATGATATGGGCCATGCTTTGAGGCTTGTATGTACACTTGTCTCTGTCCTCATTGAGCACGGAGGGGTAGCACCAGGAAAGAGGGCTGGTAAGAAAACTCTTCACCAGGCTTGGAATCAGCACGACTCATTCCTATCATCACTCCCAACAGCTTGGGCGTGTGTGACTGCTCCTTCCCAACCACTTTGCTGAGTCTCTGTAGATTGTATGTTCCTCTTGGTAGACATTGTTTCCTCAAGTGCAGAGTACGCACTTTAGGTACTATTACAAGAACCCTCCCAAATCCTGCAGTGACAGAGAGCTATGCTTTCTGTCTGATCCCAAGTGCTACTACAACATCCATCACATCAGTTGTTATTTTTCCTTCTTCTGATCCCTGCTCTCACCAGTTCTGCTTGCTAGAAAGCAATGGCATTGTTCACATTTTTGAAGAAGCAGCTAATGCTTGTTTCAAAGCTTTTGAAGTTCATTCGGAAGTACCTCATACTTGGCAGCACTCATTGGAGTAAATGCTATTTCTGTTTGCCAACAGGGTGCTATGTAAAAAGCCTTACTTCATCTCCTGCAAATATGCTGTGGGAAACTAGTACTCTTAAGACTCGAACATGGAAAGACAATCTATCATAAAACATACAACAAAAAAAAAGTACTAGAAAGGCAGCGCCCAAAATGTAGGTCTCAAAGTTTACTTAATGAAGTCGAGGGGTGGGAAGTGTTTGGGTTTGCATCCATGCCCGCCACTAAACAAGATTTTGGCTAAGAATCCTCTGTACCCCAGCACAACTCTTCCTTCATTCCTCCATCTCTCTTCCTGTTTAAAAGTGTTATTGTGGCATAGATTTATTAAGATTAAACAAACCTGACATCTGTGACTCACAGGAACATAGTGTTTGCTCTAACCATGCAGAACATTAATATTTTGGAGATTTTTTCATCCTAGGATTTTTAAAACATTCTACAGGGAGTAGTATCAGATTTCTTCCTCAAAGGGGAGGAAGAGAGACACTACAGAGATGATTTACAACACAAGGAAGAAGGTTATCAGTCTTCCTTTATCAAACAAGGAGAGACAAGACAGGAGGGAGAAGGGGTGGTTCAGCTAGCATACAAACGCAGAGCCAGTGGAACAGGCAACAAAAAATAACAATATTCATACACTCCCTCTTCTGAGAATTGTTTTATATAAAACTTAAAAGGAAAAAAAAATATCCAAACACCCACATCACACTTTGTGACCACCAGAGCAGTGAACAGAACACAGATCTTCTGGCTCCTAACCAAGTTCCTGTTATTTTTATTAGAGTAGTGCCCAAAGGTCCCAGCCAATATCTTGACTCTGGAGGACAGACACTGTCTGAGCACGTAGCACCCCAAAGGGGCTTCCAGTACAAAAGAGAGGACACAACACAAGAGGCACCAAGACAAGCACAAAACAGAGAAGGAGAAACTTGCACCCATCAGCTAAGCGCACCAGCTGGAGGCTGAACATTTGCTTTTCAAGTTAGGCAGGTGAACAAAGGATAGAAGGATTCCTGGACCAGGCTACATCCTTCACTATTGTCATTGGCCATACTTCTCATGGTAGCAATGAACTTGGAGGGATGTGAAATGAATAGAATTGTGGCTGTGCAACTTGGTTTGCATGGATATTTTTCTTACAAGGATGATGACAGAGAACAGAGAGGTGCAGAGAAACCTCACCAGTTAACTTCAATAAGCCCACAGCATCCTCCACCAATGGCTGGTTGGTCACCTGATCTAACAGTACTTTCTATCTCACGTTAAATTAATCCTTCCTTAATCAATTTGGCCTTCCATTCAGGAAGGAAACTGCTGTCAAGCTTGATCAATTTACATCCCAGCCGATGACATACAACTGCTGCTATTTTCTGGGATAGCAAGAAATGGTGTACAACTAGGCTCTGAAAACCAACAACTTTAAGACAGCCATTATCCACATAACATACTGATAATTCACAAGAAAATGTGTCCCCCTAAAAGCCACCCCTCTTCCTCACATTTATAACAGCAGAAGAGTATGTCAGAGTAAGCTTTAGCAGCACAGACACATGGAATATTGCTAGTAAGCAACCACAGATCAAACATCTATTTTTTTGTCAATGAGTCCCAGACTAAGCCGAATTGTGCAAGCAGGGTGTGAAAAGATTCTTCTCTATCTTGACACTGATTTGAGCAATATACACAGCCCTTGACTTGGCAGCAAAATAATATCAAGTGATTTAATATAAGGAAGTAATATTTTAACACCTAGGAAACATCTTCATTTTAGAGGCCATAGCAATTTCTAGTAGCAGTTGCTCAAAATCTACTAGTTTAATATGCTATAGCAGAATAAGATTTAAATCTTACTCCATGGGTAGAAACCCACCTCCTTTCAGCTACTTTTGAACTGACTCATGAATGCATGGTTCATCTCTTACTTAGTGAGGCAGGATTAATATCCCAACGCAGCACCAAAAAGGTCACTGTAAACACTTTGGATGGCAGCTTCCAGTCCTTTTTCTCTGCTCCCCAACTACCAAACCTTCATTATGTTTCAAAGATTAAAGATACTGCCTGTCCTGTTACAATAAGCGCCTTGTAAACCCCAAACACTAACAGATTACCCACACCCTTCTGATTATGAGGAAGTCACCGTGTCACCTTGTGCGGAACTGGGGTGGGCACATGGGAGAAAGCTGTATTTTCCTGGTTTCCCAGCATGCTAATACTGAGCAAGGTACTTCCCCTTTCCATGCGGGGCTCATCCACCACTACGAGGCCTTGGATGGAGACAGCGTAGCACATCTGTGTGCACCCATGTCTGATGCTACCCCGGCAGACCGAGCAACTATTTCCCAGGGAGGATGATCGGTGCTGAGTCTTTCTTAACCAGAGGAACCTGACTGACGTGGCATGTTCTGAGGGCATCAATACAACTGAATGTCAGACAAAAAGCAGCCACAGCCATCTTTAGACAGACATGCAGCTAGAAAAATACAAAATAAAATCACTGATGATGCAGCCTCAATCTATAGTCCTATCATGCACCTATTCCCTCCCTTCTAAGCTGTAGGAGGTTCAGGTCTCTACTTCCCACCTTCCAGGAATGACAACTAAAGGCTGCAGCTTTTGCACTCCTCCTGTTCAGCTATGTCACTAGGCATACAAGATCAAAGACTTCTCTAGGAGACAGAATCTTCATTCAATTGCTGTCCCATAGACTGTTGTATACACCTACTAATTTGTATAAAATAGCTACAAGCTATTTAAAATAGCTGTATGCTAACCTCCTTGAGACCAAACCTTAAGCTACCCCCTCAGGTCACACAAGACATCCCTGTCAGAAATAACATTTGAGACTGGTTTCCTGAATGACATCCATTCTCATGGCTGCAAGAACATCCTTCCTTCTCTCATGCAGCATAGCAAAGCTGAAGCAATGAAAAGAGGTCACCCACCATGGACCAGATCTCAGGAAGACGTGACCTAGTTTGTACTTCAATAAAGTCCATACAATTACAGCTAGAATAAGGGCACATAATTGTGGCAGTGGTCTCCACTAACGGGAAGGAGGCTCGTTAAATGAAGGTCATGTCAATTATCTACAGCTAGTTTACATATGCAGTCAATTACCTAGCTGTACTATTTGTTTCAGTATTTGTATTTAATGAGGATTCACCAGTTAATTGTTTTATTGCATTATTGTCAGCAGAAATCTAGCAGCTTAACAGGTTGTATTTCCAGCGGAGAGACCTGAGGAACAGCTGTGAACATGTACTTGCTTTTCTGCATCCTGATATGCGCTATGAAAGTTGAAATAACTTTCAGTAGTGAATAGATTCATAATGCTTTAATCTCCAGAAAGGAGTGTGCAGTGGAAGATAAAATTAGCAGCAAGACGACATTCTTTTTCTGCCTTGCCATTTTCTAAGACCTTTATACAAAAGTTCAATTTACTAAATACTACTGAATGGCACAGGCATGAGTTCCTGCTCTACGCATCATTACCGAAGTGTGTGAACAGATACCAAAATGGGATGCATGTCAGCACATGATTTGCA